AACAATAACAACAATAACAACAATAACAACAATAATAATAATAACAATAATAATAATAATAATAATAATAATAATAATAATAATAATAATAATAATAATAATAATAATAATAATAATAATAATAATAATTATTATTATTATTATTATTAAAAAATGAACTTTTTTCTCATTACACAGAACCATAATGAACCCGTATTTAGCATCTTGTGCACTATTGGTAGGCCTACTCAACATACTTACTTGCTTACCAACGACCGTTTCTACGACAGCGGCAACTGAAAAGGAAACGGTGCGCGAGGCATGTAGTATGTGCTGCGGGTCACCTGGACAACCTGGTATCCCCGGAATTCCTGGAACACATGGAGGGGCAGGTCCGGCTGGAGCACCCGGTAGTAAGGGCGATAGAGGGGAGTTCATCAGAGGTGAAACAGGTGCTAGAGGTCAAAAGGGAGAGCCCGGAAATGACGGTTTAAAAGGCAATAAGGGTAGCGAAGGATCTCCGGGTAAGCAAGGTCCACTAGGACGAATAGGACCACAAGGGGATAAAGGGAACAACGGATCGAAGGGTGAAAAGGGTGAACCAGGATTAGAATCACCGCAAGCCCATAAATCTGCATTTACTGCGGTACGCACAACCCACGTACCAACTACAGAATCGATCATCTTATTTACCTCAATGGAGATTAATATCGGAGAGGATTTTGACAAAACTAACGGAAAGTTTACATGTAGATTTCCGGGCGTGTATCATTTCATGTTTAGCTTCTTGACGTACGGTTCTCAAACTGATACATATGTTACCATGAGGCTGAATGACCGTAAAATCGCAACTGCACACCGTAGTGCTATTTCTGGTTATGATCAGGTAAGCTCCGGAACTACAGTTCAACTTAATGTCGGAGATCAAGTCTGGTTGTATAACGAAGGATCCCGTCGTGTGTATGGTGATATCCACCATCCTCTCACATTCACTGGGTTTCTGGTATATGATATGAACTGATAAAGTATTGCTTTAAAACCAGTAGGTATGTTGAAATGATAACTTTGATAAAAATCTAATATTTCAATTGTTTTGCACATTAAAATATGGCTTTAAAATATAAATGATCTAAAGTTAATTATTTCCTACTAACAGTGAAATAGTTAAATACTGACTGTTTCTAAACTTTTGTAGCAGAATTGGAAATCTAAGTAGCATTATTTTATTTTAATTGGGGGATTATTTTCTGATTTTACAACAAAGAGTAGGCTATCTCTTTAAATTTTGGAGCGCTAATGTAGGCCTACTATTACTGTATGACTATAACCAAATGCATGTGTTTTTTTTTCTTATTTTGAATCTGTTACTAAATGCTAAACAGTGTTATTTTGCATGTTAGTCATTTTTTCCAAAGTTCCCACATACTGTATGATAAGTAAAACGATGAATAAACGCTAATAAAATAACAAGGTTTTATTAGTATTGGTTTCTACAATTACATAGCTGCTGTATTTATTTCAAGATAATTAGGTACCAGTGGTTAATATAATATTGACATATGGCTTATTCGACTGGTTCATTTCGTTGAGTACGAATTTTCGTTGAGTATTATTTTCATTCGACTGCAGACGAAAAGGTTACAATCTTTTCAGAGATAAGCTGGAAGAAAGTTTTAGACAGTGCCCAGCAATGGAAGGATTTTAATACTGAGGAATGGAAGTTAGCGAAGTCCTTGGCTTGCTTAACCGTTTTTCTTCAATATATAGGAAACTTTTGACCCAACCTCCTAAATTTGAACCCAGATTCTCCACCCCCTAATTTGTATTCCCATTCATCTTAGTGGTGGGCCCCGCCACTTTGAAAAACGTTCCGCCGACCCTGTATGGTATCGGGAAATAGGCCTATATGCCTTTTGACAGGCAGAGATTAAAAACATGACAAAGGGGATACAGCAATTCATTGTGCATGCAGGGGTTGCGCCTCAGTAGAAGTCTAGTGCCAGTTGGGCAATGTCCCCATCAGAAAAGACTGGACCAGCTGTGTATACATGCACAGCAACAATAAAAGATATAATCTGCTTATTTTTTGACGTTGAGACATATAGTAGACCTCGTCTGTTAAAAAACTCTTGCTGTTGGCCTGCAGTCTTTATAATAGTGACAATCTGCTATAGTGCTAGGTTTACATTTGTTATTTTTCGTGATATTTATAAAATGATCTGGAAAATAGATGAATATGACAGGCTAAATACGACGCCCTGGTGATGAAAATTTATTATTATCATTATAGGGGGGGGGGGGTATTATTATTATTATTATTATTATTATTATTATTATTATTATTATTATTATTATTATTATTATTATTATCATTATTCAATATTATAGTGACCATATTAATCACTAAGCAGGGGCGGATTTACGGGGAGCCGGCCCGGGCCATAATAATAATAATAATAATAATAATAATAATAATAATAATAGATGGATTTATATAGCGCAGATAAACGAGGTCTCTTTGCGTTCGGTACTAGATGTTGCACTTTTCAATAACTTTCTCCTCCCAGGGGCCGAGTGATCCAGTACACCGGGGTAACCCCCTACTCATCTCGAAAGATGTACTGGGTTCGTTTAAGTGCACATGAGCATTTGCGTACACTGGGCCTACGGTTTATGGTCCTTACCCGAGAAGACTTGTTGCACCACTAGAACTATAGTGCCGATATTATTGGCTATGATCACGATGCCCCTGCCTTAACCGCTAGGCCATTTGACTCGCTCAATTATTATTATTATTATTATTATTATTATTATTATTATTATTATCATTATTATTATCATCATCATCATTATCATCAGCATCATCATCATCGTCATCATCATTATTATTAGGGCATGATGATGTCATACTGTATTATATCCAAATATGGGCATATGACTTTTTTGTCACATAAAATTTGATAGTGTGGACAGAATTTCTATACATCCAAACAATTACAGTACTCAAAACACTTTTTAATTTATATACTCCTGCTTTTTGCTAGTGTAAAGCTGGTTTTCCACTAGGCAAATTTATTCGCGCGAATCAAAGCGTCGGTTCGCTTCCTGAGCTCTGATTGGTTGCACATTTTTTCGCTTCGCAAAAACTCCGATAGGAATGTGAATGCGCATGCGCATATGAACCGACGCTTTCGATTCGCGCGAATAAATTCGCCTAGTGGAAAACAGGCTTCAATGCTTAGTAAAATGCTTGAGGCTTAGTAAAATGGGCTCAATTAAAGTCAGACTCCGGAGGAAAAAAAATTGATATGTTGTAGCACTGATTTTTCTAAGACAGAAAAAAACTGGGGGGTAAAAAGGGATGGTTACGCCCCTTTTACCCCCAGTTTTTAAATATTCAAAAATCTGTATCGCATTCACCGTTCCCCAGTTTTTCGTCAGACAACATTTTTCTGTCTTAGAAAAATCAGTGCTACAACATATCAAAAATTTTTCCTCCGGAGTCTGACTTTAACTATTATTATCAAAGATCTTATACAGAACCCATTAAGGGGACACCTTCCGGACCAAAATGTTTCCTCTTAAGGGGTGCCCTCTGAATAGGGGTAGGCCTACTCCTATTCAGGGGACACTAACCAAACAATTGACATTGTCCCCTTACAGGGACGTATCCAGGGGGGGAGCCGTGGGAGCCGCGGCTCCCCCCCCCCCCTTTGTACACAATGTTAAAATTTTAAAGCTTATTCTTGAGCCAATACAAATTCTTTCCTGGGATCACTCAAAATGAATACTTCTAAAACATGTAAATATGCATCAGTACACGTTATACATAGGCCTAATACCAGTTCGAAAGGAACCGTAAATGACGAGTTTATTTAATTCCTTCCAGAACAGACGGAGGTCTGGGATCGGAGTTTTCGTTGCACACTCCAAAGGGATGGTTGAACGGGTGTTATGATTAGTGACTCCGGCCTCGAGATCAGATTTGATTTTTGGAGTGTTGCTCGTTTCGTCAAAGCCTTTCGTTAAAATATTAACAATATAATTTAAAATATTATTATGTCTCCACGTGAGTCGGCCCTGGTCCAGGGACTGTTTCTGTCTCTTATACACATCTAAGATGTGTATAAGAGACAGCTGTACAGCCTTCAGAACCCCTGCAATACTAAAACTGGGATGCAACAGGCAGTGAATATTTCATTTTGATTTAGTGTAGATGTTTTTTACATATTTTAAATTTTATTTGAATTCTTTTTTATTTTGTATGGTCCATATGTTATATTTTCCCCATACAGATAAATTAATACCTGAACTGATATTTTATGGGTTTCAGATTATTATACAAAACAGATATCATAAATCATTGTCCGACTGTGTGCATTGAACATTCCCAACCGCTTGACACTTCACAAAAAAGGGCATGTTAATTAATCTTGCACAGCTTCCTCCTCATCATCATCATCTTCTTCATCATCATAATTATTAATTGTCCATAGCAAAGTAGTGAAAAAAATATGAATTCAGGGTGTATTCAATAATAGACGTCTCATAATGCACGAAGTGTATTTCAAAGAATCTAGAAAACAAAAACTTTTCGAATATCTAAAATTTATCTTCCAGCGACAAAACGAGCTAGCTCTCTTCTCATGACCATCCCAATATGGGAAGCCATCTGTGCGAGCCAGGGTAAACTCTGGATCCGCGCTTGACATGTATTTAATGCTTAAAAAAGGTATATTTACAGTATATTTATTTATAGAAAATAATGTTGCATACTAGCACTATCAGGAATAAATATACAGATAAAGGCTCCCGAGTGGGCATAGACACAAAACCGCTTATAATTATTCAAATAGCACGCATCATCTGGCACTTTAGCAGGGTGTGCAAGCGACTCGTTCGCTGTAACAGTGAAGCGGCTTTATTAAAAACTATTTTCTCCATGATAAAACGTCTCTTTGTTATTTTTTTTTCAATTTCCAGACGGCTTCGCGGCCCTCTAAAAATGTTTCGCGGCCAAATTTGGGCCGCGGACCATAGTTTGCGGAACGTCGATCTAGAGGTACTGTTTCCTCACATTTTCTCACCTCAGCTCCATCCATGGTGGGTCTGAGGTGCGTGTTGACTCACAAAATTTCCTCTCCCGCCACCTTTCAAAACAGATCTGTGCCCTTCCCTGGGTATGACATTAAACTCTATCGAGTCGGCTCCTGATGTTNNNGTCGGCTCCTGATGTTTTTAGGATGTCGATCTTGTTTTTCATGTCAATTTTTCGTGATTATGACTATTCTGGATAAAGAATGTTTTGAGCAGAGGATTCAAGGCCCGCCACCCCCTCCCTTCATTTTTTTTAAGAAAAAAAAAAAAGAAAAATACATTCAAATTGAAGTGTGAGAGTGTAATTTCCGGCCATCTAGAGATTCCCTAATCCTAAATTTTTTAACCTCAACCCCAATCACGGTGGGGCTGAGGTGGGTGGTTCCTCGATCAGTGAAAGTCCCTCCCTGGTTCACCTCTCTTTTGAATTCCTGGATCAGGTTGTTGATTTATTATATAATTATTGTTGCACTTATTTATAATACAATTTATATTGCAATTTTCACTTTATCCTCTCAAAACAGTCCTAAGAACGTTCAGATTGCGCTACTTCACAGGGGAATTCGCCCCCGGGACCCCGCCGGGTTCATACGTAATTCGCATAACGGCTCCCCCCCTTTCAAAATCCTGGCTACGTCCCTGTCCCCTTACGAGTCAAAATTTGAAAATGCTCAAATTCACTTTTTGACTAAATTAGAGCACGTTTTAGGCCATTTTAAGCATTTCAAATTTTTTTGAAATTTTCCACTACGTGCGCGCATTTAAGAAATTACATTTTTTACATATTTTGGTTTCCTGACATTGTATTCACAAATTTCCATTCTTTTCAGTCATCTTAGGGCCAATAGCAATGCCGTACGCATCACAGTGTCGCTGCACGTCATAAACTGCAGTGGTGGACCGGTACCTTTCCTGTCATTCGACTCTATTTCTACCCCTCCTTACTCCGTCGGGGAGAAAAAGCACAATTCGTCGGGGAGAAAAAAAAATTATATGTATTTTCTATTATTTAATATCACTTTATTGCAAACAACAATAAGGAAACGTAAAATACAATCTTAGATCATGGCCCAGATGAGGCACACGCAAGGAGAACGGAGAACAACAAGGAAAAAAGGACAAAAATCAGTAATTTAAAATATACCTATAAGAAATTATAACAATCCTATTTTAGTCAGTTATAAGATATGGAGGATTAATCCAGGATGGTTCGCTTTTCGCATAATATACTAAAGGAAGAGATTATGGCAAGTTAAAATTAGTTGGGTAATTGCACATTTTTAAAATTGTTTTAATTGTTTTTATATTGCGGGGAGAAATATATCCACGAGAACCACCTCAAAGCAAATCAGTTGGACATCATAGCCGGAGTCACTAATGTCCCTAATCAGACGTGCATACTTGTTATATTTCCGAGAATGGGCCGCCTGAATACCCAGTTCGAAAGGAACCGTAAATGACGAGTTTATTTAATTCCTTCCAGAACAGACAGAGGTCTGGGATCAGAGTTGTCGTTGCACACTCCAAAGGGATGGTTGAACGGGTGTTATGATTAGTGACTCCGGCCTCGAGATCAGATTTGATTTTTGGAGTGTTGCTCGTTTCGTCAAAGCCTTTCGTTAAAATATTAACAATATAATTTAAAATATTATTATGTCTCCACGTGAGTCGGCCCTGGTCCAGGGACTGTTTACAATTGTTAAGGACGTGGTGTAAAGTTTTGCGATTTCCACTACACAAATCGGAGCCCAACGTTAGTGCGTGTGTTGTGTCGCCAAGAGAATTTACGAGGAACTTTAACACACCCACTGGAAGATTATAAATTATACTCTTCCAATGGTGGCATGACTGTTCCAGTGAAAGAAGGTCAAAGAAACGTCCCTGGACCAGGATTCCTTTCACGTGGTCGTTCCACATCATTAGACTTTAGTAGACTCTAGAATCGATTAAAATAAGCCTTTGAAACCCCTAAATTGTCCAAATTTTCTGGGGCTTCACCCCCTGGACCGCTTTGGAAACCTTTTAATCGAAGCTCGACCACGCCCACTTTGCTTTGGTCGGGGAAATCTGACCCCTCATTGGGGTATCAGTCCCCCCGTCGGGGACCTCGGGCTCTCCCCCCCCCCGTCGGGAGGGTGGGTGTCGACTCTCAAAATGCCATCCCCCTTTCAAAACAGATCTGTGCCCTTCCCTGGGTATGACATTAAACTCCATCGAGTCGGCTCCTGATGTATGTCTTAGTGACTGCTGTTTGTTTTTAGGATGTGATCTGGTTTTTCATGTCCATTTTTAGTGATTATGACTGTTCTGGATAAAGAATGTTTTGAGCAGATGTGGATTCAAGGCCCCCACCCCCTTTCATTTTTTAAGGAAAAAAAAAAGAAAAATATATTCAAATTGAAGTGTGAGAGTGTAATTTCCGGCCGTCTACAGACGCCATAATCATAAATTTTCTTACCTCAGCCCCAACCATGGTGGGGCTGAGGTGGGTGGTTCCTCGGTCTGTGAATGTCCCTCCCTGGTTCACCTCTCTTTCGAATTCCTGGATCTGCGACTGTGGTTTATTATATAATTATTTTTGCGCTTATTTATAATGCGTTTATTGCAATTTTCCCTTTATCCTCTCAAACAGTCCTAAGAACGTTCAGAGTGCGCTACTTCACAGGGGATTCGCCCCTTGACCCCACCGGGGTCCTACGTAATAACATAGAGCTATTATATCTCTATGCGTAATACGCATAACGCCCCCCCCCCCTTTCAAAATCCTGGATACGTCCCTGTTTGGGACTTTGTTGTTTGATAAAATAAAAAAAAAGTCCCCTTGATAGGGGTTAAAATGTATTGATTGGACCATTTGGCACACTCAGAAAGTGTCCCCTAATAGAAAGGTCTCTTTAATAGGGGTTTGGCCTAGTGTTAAAAAATATATTTCCCCTCGTTTCGCGGGAAAGTGTCCTCTGATATGAATCCCTAGGGGCAAAGGAGAAGTTCTACTGTTTTTGTTTATTATTACAGTTTAGAGGGCGCTATTTACATCCATTTGTTGTTATTCTATAAATAGTACATGACAATCGATCCAGTAATAATTGTTTGTACCGATCACATGAAACAGAATCATTTTATCAAAAACACTGTTTTAGAAAAGTCGACATTCATACCTTTTTACAATGAATGTATTTAGGAAACCAAATGAAAAAGGTTTGTACAAATTTCGAAATAACCAAGCCTAGATATTTCTGCTGGCTTGACTGGCACAGCTAGCTATTCTAGGCCTAGCCTAGGCTAGGCAGCCTGGCAGGCGGGGATCCCCTGCTTAGTTAAACCTACATACATTCTGAATCCTAAGCCTAGGGTGCTACCTGAAATCCTAGAGACGTAGGGTTGTGGGTAGGCGTTTTAAACAGAAGCGGTGGTAGCTAGGAGGCCTAGGCTAGTAGTAGATAGCCTGGGCCAGATCTGTCACTTATTTTTAGGCCTACATATCATTATAGGCCTAGACTAGCTAGCTAGGACTCGGAGGGAAGTATTTATTAATTACATATTACTGTACCTCATACAGGCCCTTGCCTACCTAATAATAATTCAAATTGTACCAGACTGTAAAGTAAGGCCTGTGTTTTGAATATCCTCCACACAGAAACTGTCTGCGCATTTCGGAAAATAAGGCCAATTTACCTGCAGGATTTGCTTAATTAAAAATTGCGCTTTGACGTAAACTTATAAAAAGAATTTATCTATGACATTAGCACATTTAAACATTTTCTATTTTTCATAGAAATTATGAGAAAGAATGATAAAGAATTAAGGAAAACACAAAGAGACCTAGAGAGAGACAGAGGGAAACTTGAAAGGGAAGAAAAGAAACTAGTAAGTACAATCTAATTAGAATATAAATATAATAAATAAATTGTGATGATTACACAATTCTTCCCAAAATTTATACCCAATTTTCACAAGGTAAAATGTTGCCTGGGCGGATGTCACCTTCCAAGGTAAGCTGCACCCTAGTACAATGTGCACAGATCAATGCTAAATAATGTTACAGGTCTCTGTGATGCCTCTGATTTTGAGATGGATGCAGATGTCTACAAAGGGGGCCCTTTGCTAAATTTTGTGGGTTCTTATTTGATCATGAAATGCATGCTATTTTTATGCAGTTGCACCTTTACAGGAGGGGACAAATTTTGTGAGTTTTGTGTAACAAATTGTCTCAAGTGAATCAGGTATTAGGCTCAGTATCTCTTCTCCTCCCTAAATTGTCAATATGCTCAGTATTTCAGGTGTTCAAGACATTCTTATTTATACAACATTCTGTTTTTTAGGAAATGGAAATAAAAAAGGCAGCCAAGAGAGGAGACAAACAGGTTCGTTTGCAGTCATTTTTATCATTTTCATTATCATTGTCATCCAATCATCATCATCATCATCATTATTAATAATATTATAATCATTATAAAAATCTGTAGTGTCATTTTCATCAAATTTAGTGTCCTTGTCATCACCCTTATCAGTTTTATCTTCACCATCCTAATAGACCGAATTAGTCACCAAACTAAAGCAGTTATAGTGGGTATAACATCAAAACAAACGGCTACATGGCAGTTTTTTCACACAATAATAAGCCTCCGCTCGAGTAAATTTAAACTCCTCAAAGTTATTTATCGTACATTTTATCGTAAAATAACTTATCGGAAAGCCTTGGTAAATATTTCTTTAATAAGCGTCAGAATTTTGACTCGTTTGAAATTTGAAATGGATTGAAATAAGCAGATAAAAACCTTGAACATGTTAGTGTAGCCTTGTCACATGAACATAGGCCTAGCCCTAGACTAGAGAGTCATACAAACAACATTTTTCAGACTCATTGGCCATTGTAGTAAAAAAAAAACATCTTATTCTACAATTCACTAATTTAGGTTTGTCCAATAGCTTTAAATATTTCATACTAAATTGCAACAAAGTGTCTTGGTGACAGTATTTAAACTTGGGAATGTGTACTCTAAATCGACAGAGATTGTTCTAGTGAGCACTGGATGCGGTGAGTCCCGCGATTGATTGGCCTAGGCCCCCTAGAAGGCCTCTTGAAATTCTTCATATTTTTGGTCTGAATGGAAATTTAAATCAAATCAACCTAAGTCTCATGAATCTATGAATCATTCAAAATGTATACTTTGTACCCATACACACTCAGCGAAATCGCGATGACGTCATCTTTGGTGACTAATTCGGTCTATTGACTTTTTTCTATTTGTTATATATATTTGACAAATGATGTATATTTTATATTTATTGTTGATATTAGTGATATTTTTAATGTGTTTTGGGGAAACCACAAGATAGTTGGTTTAGTTCGCTTTTTGGTTTTCCTGTTTCTTGTTGTTTCTCAATGCATCAGCCCGTTTTTGTCTTTTGTATTTATTTCTCCTGTGTTTTTGAGAGAAATAAATGTAGTGAAAATGAAATGTGTTTCAATATTTTGTTTACATTTTATATTTAGACATGTACAATTTTGGCAAAGCAACTAGTAAATATGAGAAAAACAAAAACAAGGTCTTATGGAGCTTCAGCTAAAGTTACAGCAGTAAAAACGCAGGCCAAGGTGAGAGACATTCAGAATCAGAATCTGTATTTTCCACCTCATACAAAATACAATACAATATTGGGGAAAGCTAAATAAGTTAGTAGTGCAATACACAACTACCTTTAAGCTGTACTCCCCCCCCCCCCGATACAGAAATCCAATTTACGTACAGGTAATAAGTAAAAATACACATTATGATATGTAAGAACAATAGCCATGACATCAAAAACAACAACTTTATGAATTTTATGTCATACATATGGCACAATTAGTTAGCATAACTTAAAGTGATCATTTTTGTTTCATGCCCCAGTGGTTTGAATTTACCTCACATTTGATCATACGGATATTTCCATGTATTTATCCATGATACTCTCTCCTAATTAGCATGTATTTACCCATGATGCTCTCCTTAATAGCATTATTTAACCATGGTTCATCTTCGATAGCATATATTTACCCTTGATGGTCACTGGGATGTTTAACCCTAATGCCTTCCTCTCTGGTATTTTATGATAATAATTCCGTCTTTTTACTCACCATACTCTTCTCTGATTATAATATATAATTACCGATGATTCTATTTTATCATTAACACATATACCCATGAAGCTCTTTAGACGCTCAAGTATGTCTTTGTACATCAATGCAAGAATAAGAAAATAATATTATATATACTGTAGCTCTGTTGTAGATTAATTGATGAATTTATTCACTTCATAAAATATGCATAAAAATTTCACATTACAGAAAATGAATATGTAATAAAAGTACAATACTTGTTATCTTGATTACAACTTGCTCATTATATAATATCTTGTTAATTTAATTAAAATTTATTCAAATCATAATTTCAGACGATGCAGTCTACTAAAGCAATGGCTACAGCAATGGGAAATACAACCAAGGTACATTGGAAATGTATATTCCGTATATTTCATTTGAAATATGTGTCCAGTCCAGGCAGTGTCATGAGATGTAAAGCAGTGTAGCTCCAGAACTTTGCTGATTGGGGTCTAACAAGTCCGACAAGGGGGTCTGACCCAAGAGCTTCCATCAGGGTCCTGGAATATAACCCCTAGTGGAGTTTATGGGGTGGGATTTTACGGCTTAGGATGGCCCAAAATTGTTCTTTTTAAAACAAAATATTAGATTTTTAGCCCGACAACCTTGTTGTGCCATAACACACGAGGCTGGGTATATGCTTATCTGATGGGATTTGGGGGAGGGGTGGACGTTCTTCTGACCTCCTCACCGGAGCTGCCACTGTGTAAGAAATTATGCAGGGCAAAGGAATGTGGAAGAAGACCAATGAATCGATATGCATCAGAGGGATTGGCTTTTATTGGATATTCAGTATAAAACTTAATCTTTTTAACTTTGCATGTAAAATTATAACAATTTAAAAACTTAAACACCTATGTTTTTTTAAAAGTTAAAAGTAAAGTGCTTAAAACCGGGCACTGACATGATTCGATGGAGAATGCAACGCCGCACCGCCACAATGTCTGCGTAACAGATCGTTTTTTTAGTAACGTTCCATTCAGACTGCCACTGACAATCAGCAGATGGCGTCATGTAGTCTAGCGCTCATATGGAGCGTAGTTTGGTTCATCGTATGACCGTCGTACGATGAACCAAACTAACGATGAGTGTCTGGCGTAATAGCTGCGAGTTTGATAAAGTTTATACTAAAATATATAGAAATGTGTATGTAGTGAAATAAAAACAATCTTATTACAATGAATTATGATAAACTTGGTAATTCATACAATATTATATGACAATGGTAGATAATGAATTTGATAAATATTCGCAATCCCAGTGCAAAATGTTAAATTTTGATACTTTTTTTTTATCAGGCAATGGGCGCTATGAATAAACAGATGTCGCCGCAACAAATTGCCCAGACTATGCAGAACTTTGAGAGGGAGTCGGCCAAAATGGCCATGACAGAAGAAATAAGTGCGTAATGTTCTTATATTATATATCCTAATGTAAATTGGTTACCACATACTACAGTGTAAACATCATTATTAAGTAACTATATATGTTTGTTCATTTTTAAGATCTGCACATGCATTCATTTTAGAATGAACTGCTCAATGCATTTTTTCTCTGGTTGTTAATACCAATTCAATCATGCACAATTTACTTCATATGATTCAATTCTCTCTATTACAAATAACATTAAAAAAAAAACCTTTGTTGGTGGCACTATCTGTTTTTACATGTCAGGTAGGGAATGATGTGAGAGATATCTCTTAAGATTAATTCGTTGTGCCTTATTTACAGAATCATCCTACAGTATTTCAAAAACTTTAATTGCTGCTTAGAAAATTGACTTTAAGTTCAGCAGCAAGGCACTTTCTACTAGAACAGAGAACAATGTTTACATATTTAATCACCACATTTTGACAGGGCAACCCATTCATCAAGGCTGATGTTGAACAACTCTAATACATCAAGCACGTTATATAAACAAACCAAAACAACGATCATGGCATTAATCATTTAAATTCTTAGTTTATCATTGAGTGTATAAAAGGTATGATTGAACTGGCACCCTTTCATGTCGTATGATAATATTCCATAGACACAAATATTCAGTCTGTTGTTCACTGTAGAAAAAGCAATACATCCCCTTAAATCTTGTAAAGTGGCTTTTTCAAACGTCATACTTTGGGTAGCTTTTCGGGTTCTTTGTTAAAAAAAACATTTTTTGTTTTCCAAATAAGCTGACCCTAACTAGATTTTAGGTCAGTCAAGCAGTCTTGGGAATTAACATTAAGTTTTTGTTTTGCCAATGTTAAGCATGTAGAGGCCTTGGCTTTTAGCACTCCAATGAATATATAGTTATATTAATATACTATATTATATACGTTAAATCATGTTTTAAAGCATTTTCCGTGGTGACCTATTTCCATACCTTATATCAGTGCTTCCCAAATGTGGGTCATGACCCAAAAATGGAGTGCAAAGATTGCAAAAAAAAATAAAATTAACATTTTCATTTCCAAAAAAAAAGGACTTTTTATATCTAGGCCTAGCCTTTGCTTATCATTTTTTACAGCTGAATAAAGTCTTGTGAGTGAACTTACTGTATATCGTTTTGAACAAAGATGTTTGCCAGTGTAGGTCATTAACCAAAGTGGGTCCTCGGTTTAAAAGTTTGGGAAGTGCTGCCTTACATCATTGAAATATGGTGCTATGTTGTTTTTTATTTTGTGGAAAAAAGTTTTTCATGAATTTATTTTATATTATTATTATTTTCATTTATTCATATGTTGTTCTTCTCTTTATTAAATGATGTCTTTTAGTGGATGATACACTAGAAGATCTTCTCACTGAGTCAGGGGACGAGGAGGAGCAGGAGGCCATTGTAACTCAAGTATTGGATGAAATTGGTATTGAGGTTTCTGGCAAGGTAAAATTGTTTGTAATATTATCACTCTGTTTAAATTCCAAATGTTTTTGTCATGGGTAATAGTATGAGGAATTTTTGCAGCAACTCATACTACTACCAAGCACCCATTTTTTAAGTTCAACTTAAAAAAAAACAGCAATAAACAAAAACCAAGCAAGGAATGCAGTGCATACCCTAGCTAAAAATAAAAAAATATATATATAATTGTACCTTTTTAGTTCCTATGCATGTAATGCAATAGGAACTATTGTAATCACTCTGTCACATTTCTTTTGTTTTTTATTGTGTGTAGTATGTGTGTGCGTATGTGTGTAGACATTTATGCAAATGCGCATGCGTCAAGAGAAAAGTTTTCCGACATTTTGTTTTACATCGCGATGCGAAGTTCGATGTAGATTTTCTGCAGAGTTCAGTCAGGGCTGACGCTAACCGATCGGCAAGTCGGCATGCATGAAACTATTTTGGTTTTACGGCAAAAAAATCAACTGCTGTGGCATAGGTATTTTGAAGAAGGCCTAAAATAAAACAAAAAG